ATTTTTTGGCAATTGTCTAGAACAATATTGGAGAGATGAATTCCAAAGGGACTTTTATTTTATAGTTTCAAAATCCGAAATTTGTGGCAATTGACTAATACAAGGGATTGTTGGGTCAATGGCTAATGGTATGATATATTCCAATGAATCAAATTGTGATGCTACAATGTCTCCCAATAACTGTTATCTTTGACCCTTGTGAGTATATCGATTTCAATTTTTACTTTTCATGATTGCATTGTATTTGTAAGAACTAAGAATAATACAAGGGGCATAAAATTGAAAGGGCAAATATGGAAGAAGATGGAATATATTGAAACATGGCTGTTTTTATGTTGTCATGAAGTGGACAAGCATAAATGATTTAGTAAATCAAAGTGTGTAGGGATACAGGCAAACAGTGCACTAAGTTCACACACCAGTTATCACTTATCTCACATGGCATGGGCTGATGCCTTTTTCTTAAATAACAAAATAAGCCCACTCAAAATTAATAAGGAAATGCTAAGGTCACGTTACATAATCATTCCGTCGAGATTTGTAACCATTAGATCATCATGTAACCGTCACCCCGACGGAATGGTTGCATAACGGGACCGTAGTATCTTCCAAATTAATAATGACATTAGTAAGGTAAAAGTTAGTTACTGTTCAATTACATCATTCAATTGGGCCTTGGGAAATTTGTAGCCTGCTAAAATTAGCTACATAAAAGGGCATGTTATTCGGCTGGCATTGACACAATTTTACTATGAAGAAAGATTGGAAAAAAAAAAATTATACATTATAAATCACTTCTACAATAGGAAATAGTATTAAAACATAACTAACGCTTTTAAAAGAGATCACAAATATTAAGTATATTTGTGGATATTTCAAGTTTAGTTACTTTCCAATTTGATATAAATTAAAATTCATTCAAATCAAACAAATGAACCAAATTGTGCGAACCTGCCACTTAGGCTAAACACATTCGAAAATTATATACATGGGATACTAAAAAGAAATTGGGAAGTTGTCTTTTTGTTTTCATGGGAATTATTAAGAAATATTACAAATACATCATCAACAACAATAATATGAATCTTACATGCAATGATATATATATATATATATATATATATATATATAGACCATATATATAACACACACAAAATATGATGAAAACCCAAATGAAATCTATTTGATACGCTTGCAAAGTGTGACTCCATCTCCAATTGAAAGTTGAGCTAATTCAATCCTAGCATCTTTAGCCAAGAATGTGTTCAACTCCATGATATGTCCCCTACACCCCCTCAAAAACTCCTCCATCTCGGCATCCTCGGAAGCCACCACTGTCCCGGACCACAAGGTGTTGTCGTAGGCTATAATTCCCCCAATCCTTACTAGCTTCATAAGCTTCTCGTGATAGCTGATGTAGTTTTCCTTATCCGCATCCACAAACGCGAAATCAAATGTCCCTTCCTCTCCCTGTGGATTATAATCAAAGAATTTGTTGACTTTTAGGTCATGTTAGCGATTTATTTCGTTATAATGTGTAACGTGCCTTGCAAAATCTAACTAAATATAAGTGTAACGTGCCTTGAAGATGAGTTGCTCCATAACTTTCATGGCATCAGATTGAATGTACTGGATTTTGTGTGACACGTTTGCTTTTTGGATAAACGGTAGTCCTGTCTCGTATGCTTCTCTATCCGGATCAATCGCAATAATCTATTTTTTTTTACAAAAAAAAAAGATCTTTTAATTCAATGTTTTCTTGGCATATAGAAGATGTAATATATAAGAATTAATATGTGTTGTGTCAAACTTTACTTTGCCATCATCAGGAAGAGCAAGAGCAGTTGAGAGAAGAGAGTAGCCAGTGAAAACTCCAACTTCAATTGTTTTATTGGCATTCATAATTTTCAACAACATCGAAAGAAATTGGCCCTCATCGGCTGTCACGTTCATCAAGCTCCTGATCCAATCAAAATACATTTTTTTTTTCCAAATTAATTTATGAAGAAGAATTTAATATATATCATCATAACAATGAAAAGATTAAGTTGCATTTTCACTATTCAGAAATTATTTCGCGGTTTTCTTCACAAATTAATTTCGTACCAATATTGATATTTCTCCACGGTCGCCTTCCTGATTTCTTTAAGCTGCTCGTGCTCTCTCGGGTAGGCGCTTGTTTCCAATATGTACTGCAAGTAACAAATACCAATTGAGCACGTGAGAACATTACGTCTCGAATATAGGAAGATCGGGAAAGAACTAACTTACATGATCAGTTGATCACACAGTCACACACTAAACTTGCATGATTTAGCAATGACAAAATATCATTGTATATAACAAATTTGAATGTTACAAACTTTGATGTTTACATAGGAATTAGATGAAAATCTAACCTTGGCAAGTGCCTCACTCTGCAAAATTGTGCCCGAAAATTGGTCTTTCATGGTTGAGCAATGAATAATTATAGGTGTGATATGATAATTTGAATTTGATTCTTGTGGTTGCAACTTATGAAATTGAGCCCTCAATTTTATAGGTGCGAACGCCTAATAGTTGGAAATTGTCAACTTATAACTACCAACCCATTAGCTCTTTCTAAAAAGAATAATAAAAAAAATAATAATAATAAAAAAACGAGTTACCAACTATTTTCATAAAATTATTAATTACCAAATGTGTATAGCACGTCACTAATAATTAAGTCGAAAAAATAAGAGGTGGGGCACTTAGGGGGCCAATTATTTGTTACCAAGAAATTAATTAATGGGTCTTAATTAATTAAACTACTAAGCTAATTAAATAATAAATAGTGAGTACTACTAAAGTCCTTTTAATATTCTTCAAATTTAATACGACTACTAATATTGTGTGTGTTTGGTGGCGTTAGTCGTCCACCATAATGCCTCCCTTGAATTGCACCATTTGGATTCGACTTGCTTTTAATAATTATTGAAATTCTTTCAACCTATTGTTGTTCTTAACTTGTTCATATTTGT